TTCAGCCCATAGTCAGTCACTTTACTGATGAGGTAAACCAGCTCACAAAGTATCAAAGAAAGAAGATAAAGTATCCCTCTCTCTGCACTAGACGAATATGAATAGTCGTCTTACACTCCGACCGTTTTAGCCCCAGTATCAGAGTGGGTGGGCCCGATAGCCAGTATATGATTTAGGAAGAGAAAAAACGCGTTCTGCACGGGGACATGAATCGGTCTACGTGCGTATATTTACGTTCCTGACTGGATTATTTCGGACTCATGAGTAGGTGCCACTTAATGACTGTATTTCCTTACCTATCCAAAAGTCACTTATGAATGACAGTAACTAGCTCACTAACCAACAACTCATGCAGAAGCTTATAAATAGCACTCAGCTCAGCTACGCAAGACGTTTTCCGTCTTGTATGCAACCCGAATGTTCATTATCGTGTCCATGAGTAACTAACCAAGTCCAGAAGCTTTGATCTTCCTGTATTCAAGGTCCATATAGAAATTAATATTCGAATATAAAAATCGCAACCACGGGGTTACCCCTCCCCTGCCTCTGTGAGTCCATTGACTTTTTTAACTCCATTTCGATGTTCGTGATCTGATCCGAATCTTCCAAAAGACATTCACCCTGAAGATGGTAAGTACAGTGCTTGCCGAAACGATCAAAAACCTTCAATATCATATGCGGCTTATTCCCAAGAGGTTATGCATTAAACTGTAATTTCACCCGTCTTATTATGCGGGTGCTAAACTTTATCTTTCGTATCAAAGGAGAAACAGACTTTGGCCTGTACTGATGTGCTAATGAGAATATTTGAATCTAAGAGACAGGACTAACAAAAAAGATGGTAAAACTGGGGATACATAATTTGTGCTTTTCGCCAAAAAAACGTATTATTAGGGTGATCATATCTGAGAAGATGATATAGATGGTACATATCAGCTCGGGCGGTGAAAAGGATGACACTTGGGGCATAGACGTGGAGGTATGATAATATTAAAATGGATCTGAACGAAAAGGGTATGCGATTTTGGATAGGATTAGACTTAATAAGAATAAGGCACAATGACTGGCTGTTGTAGACACGGTTAAACACTTTGGATTTTTTTAAAGTGTTAATGTAACCAGCTGAACGAATATAAAATGCTCATTAAGTGTTCATTTCCTTTCGGGCACCATTACAAAATACTATGACCGACATTCTTTACGTTTACGTTGAGGATAAATTGAGATAGCTCGTAGTTATGGTCATTTCCTCCTGAAAATACCTTTTTGTAGCACGACAACTTCTCATTCATATTTCAATATGGCGCCGTAAAAACGTCGCAGCTGACAGAAAGTCGAAAATCAGAATGAAATAAATAAATAAAATACCTGCGTCATAGCTTCTTTGCTTACTGGAACTGACATAGAGAAACACAAAAATTAATAAAATCTGAATGTTGTTTTCATTACAATCTTAGTGTTTCGTAGACCCCATACAAACTCTGACAAAATGAGTACCTTCATATAATATAAAGGACTTGATGCATTTGAGGAACGATATATATAGGTACTGCATTGGATATCGAGAGGTAAACAGAGCTTATCTCAGTAGCTGCCTCCTTAATATTAATATTATTGAACATTAGAGGGAAAGGTTACATAGTATAACGCCAGAAAGAGCCATCGAGGAAACGGTGATAATTTATACATTAAAAAAAAACTGGACGTGTGCCCAATAAGATTAATTCCTGTCTGCAAGTGTTAATGGTTTCGTGTTATGATAAATTATGATCCTGTTTATATCAAACTTTGCGGATGTATGGCTTATTATTCCCCTGATGACGACGAGTTCTGTGAAATTTATGCGATTCGTGGAACATTATATAACCGTATTTTCATACTTTCGGATTTGACATGAATGTTATAATAGTCCTTAATTAGTCTAGAACGTGAAAATATGATCTTTAACCCGTTATTGCACTGGTTATTTGTACCTAAATCAATAGAATATTATTAGGTGTATGGTATATTGAGATTTGGCCCATTATACATGGCAAAACTCTGAGCTTCACACACATTGGTCGCATCAGAGTGCATTATTTAATCCCGTATGAAGATTGAAATACAAGTTAAACTGTTGTGTGTGATTTGGTGCTCAAGTAAAACACGAAACTAAGCTCTGTGGGTCATGTACGCCATCGATATATTAGTGCATCATTTTCATTCGGTGATATTTTTTATTCTCAAGGCTACGACTGTGAAAATATTTTATCGTAGAAATTTATCGACGTTTCAAAGGTTCCTTCTGCCTCCATCATCAGACATGATTAGGGCGTCTATCACATTGTCCCTCTGAAACGTCAGTAAATTTCTAAGAAACTCCACGACCCAACAAACCAGAAGAGAGTGATATTAATTTATTCAGTTTAATAACGAGAATGTAACTTCGTGTAAGTGTATTCTGATATTATATTCGGAATAATATTTGGTTAAATTAGAACATCTGACTAGGCTTAGGCTAACACAAAAAATACAAGAAAACAGACTGTGAGATACAACTATATTCAATGCATTCTTTATAACGTCATCACCTGATCACCAGACGATGGTCAGATGGTGATGTATGTGGGAACCGAGCATGTTGTGTGAAAGAAATAACAGTTTTCTTATAAACTTTTGTGTTAGACTTTTTATAAACCGATAAAATATTAGAGGTTTTTATGGCGTGAAGATGTCGATTATGATCTTCATGCTTGAATTTCAGCTCAACTTGACCGAAACCCTTCAGATGGAGACAATACGTCCCTCCGAAACGTTGATGATCAGCGACAAGACTGGGCGGCATCACAAACAAGACATAAGAAAAGTTTAGTTGACTTCAAAAGGTTTAATTTTACGTCGTATAATTCTCGTGAACACGTATGAAGGTACCACGTGCTGTAGGTAGATCAATGAACTGAGTAATTTTGATAGGTTAAAATTCAGTCTAAATTCTAATTGACTTTCTGTGTTGACCACCATGGGGCCTGTTCCTGTTTTATGTTACCCCAATTACTTGCACCGTGAAAAATACAAAAATATACTTGAATATAATTGTTCTGAACCGATAAGGATTAAAATTAAATCCGCTAAACAGTATTATCGCAGTCTTCCAACACTATATATTATTTTAGAGGTGAAACGCATTCACGTAGATAACCTCCACATTGTGCATTCATTTCATGTTGTTTCGGCTATGAGTCTTAAGAGAAAGTTAGTAATCTCTTGAATCTGCAACTAATTATTTTCTTTACTAAGTTGATATAATTGCGTCATATTGTGAATTAAAATTTAATTATTCGTGTTTTTTTCCCGTCTAATCACAATTGTATATAAATAAAATTATACATAAGATATTAAAATATCATCAGAAGTTACACAACAACAGTAATTAAGTTTTAGTTTATAAGATTATAATTTTAACCTTTTAACTTTACACCTGAAGATGGTTCAATGTAACCGAAACATGTAGTAAAAAGTTGTACCAAATATGTAAATGATATTTTAATATCTATGTATAATTTTATTTATATACAATTGTGATTAGACGGAAAAAAACACGAATAATTAAATTCTTTACTAAGATCAAAAATACGATTTTTACGTTCAACAAGTATAGGTGACATTTGTTATACGCGATTTAGCTATCCGCTTTATTGCATATCTGCTATTTTATTTCGTTATCACGAGGGGCATCAGTATCTTATCCACGGCTAATTTTTAATGCCTGTTACCTTCGTCGAACCTTCTCCAGGCTTATCAGTAAATGTGATGCGTAGCATCGAAGAATTCTGGTGCTAATTTAAAATGAAAATGGTGATTGTTATACGGTTCCCGTTAAACACTTTTTTGTTTTATTCGGAAATCAACCCCCTTCTATAATGAGAGTCAGCTTTATTAATAGAATAGTATGAAGATTTCTGTCTTCTTGGTTGTTGCGCTGTGTAGTCTGGTCGATGTTTACCAACGTTTCAGAGGTCATACTGCCTCCATCATCAGGGCGATGAGTATGAACATTTCTGTCTTCTGGGTTGTTGCACATTGTAGTCTGGTAGATGTTTACCAACGTTTCAGAGGTCATACTGCCTCCGTCATCAGGGCGATGAATATCAAGTCTTACAATAGAATAGTAGTTGGCTTTATACTAGTTTTTGAGACCACATTGTCCCCAACACAACTCCTGCCAGTCTTGTACGTATTTGTGTTCACTTTCTCTACTATTCATGTCTTCTTTCTATAAGCAATGAGACTAATATGTGAGTGCCGATAAATTGAGTCCCCATGTCGATAAGAGTCATACCAAACATTTTTTTAGAAGAGTAGCTAATTTTGTCGCTTAAATTTTCGCTAAAGAGAACCTATCTATTGGCTGACTTAATCTGCAACTGTCTTGGAATTAGTCTATTCTCCTGAAAGATTCTAGGTTAGTATAAATGTCACTCTAGAATTCACTCTGGTGACAAAGCCGGAATGAAAACAAGACCATAACGTCGTAATTTTTATATCTTGTCGTTAAATTTAATACAACATTTGTCTCAAATTTTAAAAGAAATTCAAGGTTGTAGGTGGTATAATTGACATCTGTATAATCTTCATGTTAACAGAAAGAAAGTAGCATACTTATAAGTTTGTATTTCGAGCAAACTTTACGTGTTTACGTTTTTTTGAGGTATAAAACTATATTGTAAACAGGAAAGCCATAATGTTGTCTCTCGGTCTTAAAAGTCTTCAGATAATGTCATTTTTTAAGAGTTGAAATTGAAGCCGTGTGAAGGTCTATTGCTATACCTTTTTTTATAAAACTAATTATAGTATCTATGTTGTAAATTAATAACATCCAGCACATTCCATGACACGATTCTCCGGGAACTGTAAAACGACAGCTGTAATTTGGAATGTGGAAATAATATTCTGGATTGCTTTTGTTGCCTTGATCTGAAAATGCACATACATTTATCAACCTTCATTTTCTTCTCTTCCAGTCACGAAGGCAGCAGACGCCTCATACCAGGACGTGCACCGATAAGCCAAGATAAAAGGTATGTCGCTTGTAACTACAGTATGGATATCGCATGTTACCTTCTAGAATATTTTTTACTTCAGACCTCGGTTCTAGTGACATCTTCTGACAGTAATGCCGCTGTTGTAACGATGTACAAATTCGTTCACATCCTCCGCTGAATCCCACGTAAGATTTTGTTCTTGGTTTGAAATTGTATGTAAAGAGAGTGATAGACGTGTGTATTGCATGCGTGCGTCGCCACTTTAAAGCAGATTTACTCCGTGGCGGTCTCTACGCTGACCCTCTTAACGTAATACTGCTATGTTAGCATAATACTTAGATTTGTTTTGAAAAAAATTATGCAGTATGTTTTAGAAAGACGTATACACATTCAGTGCATTAAATAGACATTTTAATAAACTAAGCCATTACATACGTCAGCATTGGCACTTCGTGAATTAGCGAATCTAGCTCAGTTGATCAGAATGACCACCGTCAGCTTATAGAAAGTGACTGACAAGCGGCCACTAAGGTTATTGCCGGGACGGCTGCTAAAGACCTTTCAATTTCTTGCTAGATATTTTGAAGTTTTGCTGGCTTTGTGCTGTACCCCACAGTAAGAAGCTTGGCGGGGTTAATACTGGCGACCGTGGGGGTACTCAGCAGATCCCCTGCGTCCAATACATCGTTTATCCATCCATCGGGAAAGTTGTCAAGAAAAGCCCTGACATCAGAATTGCAATAGGGTAGCGCCTCGTCCTGTTTGGCACCACGTGTCCTCATCGCCTTGCAGCTAATGAACAAGGTTAATATTCCGTATTATAATGTAAATACATCTTTATGGGACACTATATATAGGAAATTTGCATGTACAGAGATGGTTCTCGGGATCCTGTCCGACCTCACCTGACAATTTGCCATATTTTCATATTGTCAGTAACTTATACTTTGCGGTAAAATAATTTCACGTTTATTCTTTATCTTTATTTAATAATTCCGTTTGTGTTCTTTCAAGTAGAATAAAATACACAAATTTTAGACATCACGGCTTGTTCTTTTTTTATCCATAGTGATAACTGGCTGCATGTTTGGATACGTTTATCACCATAAGATTGTAAATATTATGTTTATCGTGAAATGTTAAAACAACGTAAAAATTTTAAATTCAAATATAAATGTCAAACACACATATATATTGAAGAGAAACAGACGTTGAATGAGATAATTAGATTGCAATGAAACGTTTGTGGAACGTGTTTCAGTTTGACACAAGGCAAAATATTTTTGTAATAATATTTAAATTTTGTCTTTTATCGTTAATCTGGAAGATCAGAAAATTATCAACGATGAGTAATACTTTAGACCCAAACCAAAGAGGACTGTCCGGGTGCAGAAGCTTGACGTAAGCTTACGTACTCGTTACAAATTACAGATTACTGTAGAAACGTAAAGTGGCAAATTGTGTTTTCCATCAACACAGCGCTCTGTCCATTATAGACTGACGTAATTAAATCCTTGTCGAAATTTTAAGCGTTGCTTGGATAAGGGAACATGACATTGTCAGAGAATTACACCGTATTTCATTATCACCTTGACATAAATACCGCATCCAGGAAATCAAGAGTTAAGTCAACAAGAAGTAGTATGAAAAAGCTTGCCAACATCACGCCACATAAAACACTGTATAAATTGTGCACGTCTTTAAAGGCTTTTATGCCTTTCAGAGAAGGAAATCGAAACGTAGCTTCGTCCTCTCTGTACGTTCTTTTTGCATACAGGCAGTATCATCAAAATCAATTTGACCGACTAGGCGCTAACTCGTTATGCCTATAAGCAAACATTAGACTTTTAAGCAGTTTTTATTTTGGTATTTTTTTTTAATTTTCAGGGCCACATTGGTTAAAGTCATAAATGAGTTTTAACACCGGCCAATATCTCAGCGCTTTATCAGATTTTCATTAAAGTGTTATATTTTCATTATAAAGTTACGTTTACATTGACGGCTACATGTATGAAGGGTTAATTTTACTAATACGTACATTTATGAATCCTCTGAAATACTTTAATAAATCCTAATATACAGAACTTCCTTTGTTTAAATATTAACATGTGCGTGCTTCTCGTTTGCCTCAAAGTTAACACAATGAAAGCACCGGTAAATATGGTCGATGTAACTAATATAAACATTCCCTCATTTTCACGTAGGATCTTCATTTAATTTTTATTAGTGATAATATTATTACACGTTTCACATTGTCGTTATATTGACAGAAAACAAAGATCTGTGGTTCGATTTTTGCGATCAGAGAATGTGAAAACCGGTGAAATTTGCAGGATTAATTATTTGAACAACTCCAGGATCCGAAGATAAGTTTACGAGTGGATGATATTATACACATTCTGGGCGACTATAAAGTGTGCAGTTTAATTAGCTTATCTAGTACAACAGGAAAACCAGAATTTATGTAATTGCGTCTAAAATGAACATCATCGACGAAAATAGGTGATTCATGTACCGTTAGATAAAATGCATTGACAATAAGATGAGTTTAACTGCTATATAATTATTCTTCGCTGTGTATTTAGTTCCTTTGCCACGGTGGTCTAGCGGTTAGAACGCTGGCCTTGTACTCCTGGGGTCTCGGGTTCGATTCCCGGCGGTGCCCGAATTTATAACTTGTGTAGGGCAAGGCCGTGGTCTAGGCAACACGGAGTTTTCCTCCGGGAGCTTCCCCGGTTTCTCCGTGGCATCCCAACAATTACTCCATTCACACACAGAAGAAGGCAATGGCAAACCACTTCTGGATCATCTGCCAAGAACGGATATGAACAGGTCCCAGTCCGAGAAAGGGATGGAAGGATCCTGTTCATATGGACCTGTCGTCAGACAGAACACTAAAGATACGAAGTGGATGTCGCATTATTACAACAGATCAGTGGGACGAACGGATCAGATAAAAATACGTAATTTATTCCAGCACACAAAAACCTACAGTTTGGCGTTGACATATTTATTGTACATTTGTTAGTTGTTCAATATCAGATCGTTCATTGTTTATGCGGCACGTACCTACATGGACGTACTTCTTTTGTTTGGTGTTCATTAATTGCGTTCCATTGTTCTCTTAATAGTGGTTGTTGGCAATATCCATAACGAATTGATTTTCTTCTTGTAGATTTTGTCACAGTATTTTATACAGTTCAGTTGTTCGAAATGAAAAAGTAAGCAATTAACGAAAGCCTGCTGTAATTTCAGCCCAGAACAATAAGCTTGCCTGTTTAATTACGGAAATGTAGTCGTGATTTGTAAATGTCTTTTCTGCCAAAATTCCATTTAGTTTGTTTGCAAACCCTTCAAGACTCTTACCGGGTGTTTGGCATTGCAAAGGTGATTGCTGAATATCGACAAGCATTTAACTTAAGCTTAGAAGAAAAATTTTCAGGAGGCAACGCGTTGGCTCGGTACATCAGTTGCACGCAAATTGCCAGGCATTTGTTTCAAAACAGAAACCACATGAAATCAAAAGTTACTGTCGAGCAAATGATCAAAACGAAGCTCTATAGTGAGACTCTTAGAATTTTTCACAACAAAATGTATTTTGTGTGATACTCTAAATAGCGAGTATTCTTTAAATAACATTAACCAATTGATCTTTGTAATGGATACGTGTTGTGTCTTTTTAGATAGAGTTAAACTCCTTTTAATATTATTTAAACGATCTTTGGCTTCAGGGGTTTAATTCTGACAGCTGATTTCTACACGATGACAAGGATCTAGGCAGTTACTCAAAATAATATTTTGTTACGTTGCACTAAACAACAATTGTAAGAAATTAAAATCTATTCAGTACTTAATCAAAGACACCTCAGTATAAGTAAGGTGTGTTAGCAGGAACAATTAATTAACAAATTCTTAATTTATTTATTTATTTCTGTGTAGGTTCTGGTGACGTAACATTTGTCGTTATAACCGCAAAGTATCGTACCGTCGTTATATGTGTTACAGTTAACATACAGATCAGTAATCACACGGAATTGGTAGCTATGCTTATGACCTGTCGCCGCTCAAAGGTGTACATAACTAGTCACAGTAATAAGCCTTCTTCTTACTACCAAACGCTGAACTGCCGCCATGGCACGAAGTATGACCTCTACATAACCTTCATATTTTTCGAATATCTAGTAGTACAACCTACAAAAAACTCATATTGAATCGACCAAATATCATATCAGACTTCTATTTTAAGACGGCTGCCGTGTTAAAATTTTATTCATACATATATTTATTCTTCAAGTCTATACACAAACTATATTAATATTGATGTTAAAAATTAAAATTGATATAAATATTTCGCGCTATTCATCGTTTCCTCGATGTTACAATTTGCGCTATATATTACAACATGTTTCGATGTCTCAGCATCATCTTCAGGTTTTATTTTTAAAACAATTCTATATTTTTTAATGCACGCTTTTCATTATTTGTAGATTGTAGGTTGTAGTTGTGGATGTTCCTTTTTTCTTCTGATTCTTTTGCATATTATGTGGCGTATTATGTTATTTGTTCATTATTTCAGGAGTTTGATGTGTCGTGTGTCCTCGGCTGGTCAGGTCTGATCAGATAAAATTTAAGAAGTATACCAATTTATACGAAAATTTATCTACTATTTTAGGTGTTACGTGTAAATTGACATGTGTAGGCATAAGATTATGTTACCATAAGCCTAGTTCCCCTTACAAAACGAGGAAATTATGATCAGAAATGTTTATTTTATTAATTGCAGAGCATATTGCATATTAGCTTTTCAAAAAGTGTTGCTGCATGCAGCATGGAGCACCGTGTTTCTGTTTTGTGTTCCATGCAAAATCCTCCCTGTTTTATGTCTTCATATTTGTGGCGTTTGTTTTTGGTCTGGTGTACCACAAGTGTTTTGTCAGCCCACAACGGTTCCTAGACCACAAATGTTTGGTAAGGACTTGGGCAGCTAATTTGTAGATTATGTAGGAAAACGTAGTTTTTGCTCATTTGTTTTTTTA